CTGAATATTCTAGAAACATCATGTTTCCCAGTATAGAACAGTTGTATTCAGAAAATAAGTTTATCCTCCAACAAGCTTATTGTCCTGTTTACACTGCAAGTATAATAAACCAGTGGCTCCAGAATAACAACATCGAGACCTTACCATGGCCCAGCTACAGTACAGGGTTAAACCCAATCGAGAATGTGTGGGGGTTATTATAAAACGGTTGTATCGGTGTAATTTTATACCTCAAAATGCTGAAGATCTGTGGCACGGTATACGAGAGGTTTGGGAATAGCTCTCTGAAGAAGACAATGTCATAGTTCCTTCTACGCAAATGGACCAAAGACTACAAGCTGTTATCAATGCTGATGGAGATATTATAAAATATTAATTTTATTTTTACATGCCTAAATTTAATATAGTTTTGGTCTTCCAGGCCCCCGCTTCCTTTTGAGAGTTTCTTGTCCCCTCCATTTTTTATTAATAAAAAACTGTGGTTCTGCTTATGTTAAAATGTTTTGCTGCCTCTGATACTGCACAGTTATCTTTGAATTTTGCTTACAATTCTTGTTTTAATATATTGCTGAATTAAGTCGTTTGTTTTATTCCTTAATAATAATAAAAATAACTCTTCTTCTTTGGGTGCCGTGTCCGTATTCAGACGTTGACCGTCATAATGTTTACAATTTCCTGAAACCTTTCTCTGTCGGCTCCTGCGCGAAATAATTCTACTGTGGAACCACACCATTGTCTAATATTACGCAGCCATGAAAGTTTCTTTCGACCAATCCATCTCTTTCCTTCCACTTTTATTTAAGTCCTCTAATTACATGGCCGAAGTATTCTGTTTTTCTCCTCTTTATGGTGTTTATGAGCAGACGTTCTGAATTGATCATTTGAAGAACATCTTCATTGGAAGTGTGCGAAACCCACGATATCTTTAGGATTCGTCTATAGCACCACAATTCGAATGCTTCTAACTTGTTTAGCATTGTGGTTTTTAACGTCCATGTCTCACAACCATACAATAAGATGGACCACACATAAGATTTCAGGACCTTCTTACGAATATTCATCGACAGGTTTCTGTTGCATAAAACTGGTTTCCACGTCAAAAAAGCCTTACGTGATATTTCGATCCTGGTTATTATCTCTTCATCAGAGTCACAATTTACATTTAACCAGCTGCCAAGGTATTTGAGATGATTTAACCTTTTGATCTCCTCTCCATTAAGAGAAATCAGGCCTTGATCTATATTGATCTTTCCAACTGCCATCCACTTTGTCTTTGAAATGTTGATTTTAAGGCCTCTCCGATAACTTGCTTCACCTACTAGATTTAGTAATGTTTGGAGATCTTGTAAATTTTCTGCAAGAATGGCTGTATCGTCAGCGTATCTAATATTGTTGATTACTTCTCCACCTAGTCTTACTCCCTCTTGTTTATCATCCAAAGCCCCCTAAAGATTTCTTCAGAGTACAGATTAAAAAGAGTGTGTGACAAAACACAACCCTGCCGTACTCCACGTTTGATGGATAGTTTTTCAGTCGGACTGTCTCCAATTTGGATAGAGGCTACTTGATTGTAATATAAGTATTTCAGCAGTCTTATATCATAGTGGTCAAGTCCTGCTGCCCGTAGGCAATTGAAAAGTATATCGTGTTGTACTCTGTCGAACGCCTTCTCGAAGTCGATGAAACAAACTTAAACATTCTTTCGGAATTCACAACTTTTTTGTAATAGAACGCGCATACAGAATAGTGCCTCTCTAGTTCCTAGACCGTTTCTAAATCCAAATTGCTTATTACCCATCGTACTTTCGCATAGAAGGAATACTTGGTTTTGTATAATTCGTAAGAGTATCTTCAGTGTTCAGTGTTGTTCAATATTAAAAATAATAACAGGAATTCAAAATAATATCAAAATTTAATCTTAATAATTATTGAATGTAATAATTAACCTATGTAATCAATTGTTTGTGTTTGTTTGTTTATTGTATTATTTGTCTGTCATAGTAAATATAGTAAATAATGTCAGACCAATCAAATATATTACTCAAAATGATCAAATCTTGCTAAGAGTCGTATCAGCTTTTTTAGGAACAGCTGTATTTTAGAAAAGAACTAACAAATTAACGTGGTTTTATTGTTTTATTTGCTCAATAGAACCCCAAATATAAAAAAAAACCGTAGAGTGATTTGAGTGAGGCATAAACTGGAATATATGTATGTGTATGTTTTATAGAATTCTCAAAGGCGTTCGATAATGTAAAGCACCAATAGCTAATAAAACTCCTCAGAGATGCAGGGATAACTTGGAAAGACATCAGGATCATAACAAGCCTTTATTGGAATCAATCAACCAAAACAAGAATAGATAAAGTCCAAAAACATCCCAAATAAAAAGAGAATTCATCAAGGATGTGTAGTGTTACCGCAACTGACAGTACAAGAGATTCACAAAATCACGTTGCTTGAAAACAAGCTATTGACTGGGAAGAGAAGAATCGAATATGCACATGTGCAAAATGTGAACATGGTCTGAGTGAACTAAAGATGGGTTTTGCAGAAGGTTGGGAACTATAGAAACCTCATACTAAGGGTCTTAATAAAAGTATGGAGACTAGCGAAAAGAAGTTATACCTGTTTCATAGATAAAGCATGAGCATTTGACTCATGTGTTAAACATAAAACTAAAAGGAAAAGGTTGATATTACCAAGATCTAAGAATTATTCAGTAACCTCTAGGAACACCGGGTGGCAACAAACAGCTTAAAAAAATTAAAACCAAAATTCTTCTTCTGCTTCTCTTTATAACAATAATTCTGCTTGTTCATTGATGGATTTACATCTCTATGAAAGGTTGTCACTCCATCTTTTGCGCTGTCGTAAGTTACATCTTCTAACGATTGGTGATTTATCTCTTGCTATGTTGACCACACGGGTTAACCCTTTCTGCTTATGTGGTTATTTTATTCTTTTTACTGTTTAGTGTCCATTCGTTTATACGTTACACTTTCTTTTAATGCCTCTTTTGAAATCCCAGCGTATTTTCTGTAATTCTTCTCAGTGCTTCTCATATTTGCCATTTTCAGTAGTCTTTTGTGTTGTAGCTGTGCGCGGCGTTGTTTCTGATGCGTATGTCATTAGTGGTCTTACGTTATGGCTTGGCTTTATAAATTCTTGACTTTATCTCAGTGTAAATATGTCGGTTTCTGGATATAGTGTTATTAAGACATCCTGTCACTATGCTTGCTTTTATGTACTTGATCTCTTACTTCTTTGTCCAGGTCTCCAGAGCGGGACAGTATAATGCCAAGGTATTGTACTTTGATTACTTGGTCATATTAAATTATTTTGCTCTTATGATAAATCTTGTGGACCAGTCGTTGCAGATCTTCATCTGGGCTATCAAAATTGACCACAAGTATCCCCTTTAGCACATTCCTTGAGAGTATCTCTTTTATTTTGCACCTGCAAATGTAGATAGTGCTTGAGATTTCGTGATAACTGGATTATGTTCCATTTGCCGTTGAACATTAAGCGGGATCTCATGGCCTAGTAAAAGCTACATATTCTTGAGAATCATTTGGTGCATCTGAAAAGTTTTCTCATCCAGCAGAGGTCTATCAGTGACAAAAGGGCTCATAAACTCGTCTTCACTACAAGTATTATAATTAAATAGCCAATTTTTAGGCATTTTAAAACCATTGTATATGTAACCAAGGTGTAAATGCCATAGGAAAAACAGTTCCAAATACTCCACGACGTTATAAATAGATACTGGCGTTCATGGATGATGCAAAAGGCAATCGTTTCAAGCTTTGCAGTAGTATTCCTTCAGTAACGATAAGAAAACGGTGTACTAAATGTTTACATTATGTCCTTATAAAAGCTACGAGCTACATAAAGCCCTTAGACCGTTCCAAATCGGAGCGGTCTAAGGGCTGTAGCTCGTAGTTTTTATAAGGACATAATGTAAACATTAGTACGCCGTTTTCTTTAGCCAAATTTATAATGTTAATATACAAGTGACTCTCGTGATTATCCATGTTTAGGAGGACCTTCAGGAGAGGTTTATCACATTGGGTCTCGGCCATGCTTTATGAAATGGTTTAAAAAATCTTCAAACTTTTCAGCGCTGGTCACCCATGGGAATAGCAAGATCTAATTTTTCTAGGCTACGTTATTATTCATGTAGAGATTATAATGCACTCTAGAAAATATTAAACAAGTATGCATTAAATTTCCTAGCGCATCGACACAAGCAATAATAGTGAAGCCTGATGTCACGTTGCCACTTGTCTTGTCCCTTTTAGTAATAAAACTTTCATGAGCGTGTGTAAAGTTGACAGCCTAGACCAGTCTACATTGTATATGCTTTTAGAAGTGAAATTGTGTTTGAGTAGCAAGTCCCTGTATTTATGAAAAAACTTGAAAACGTCAACCATACACCATTTCTTGGTACATACATTAACCTTAATAATTTTTTCTTGTAGTTTTATTTTTGCTTCAATTTCATCATCATCAACTATTAATATATTTGCATCATCAGTAAACGTTGCTTTTGCTGCATTTGTGGCTGTTTAATACTGGTATATCAAAGGTACACAGCAGATAGAGTAATGAACCTAAAACACTACCTTGGGGTACTCCAGTACTTACTATTCTCAACTTAGAGTAAGACTCTACTATATTCTAAACAATCTTTGACTAATATACGATTTATTAATTTGCTATGTTCTTTAGATAAAAGTAAATCCAGTTTATATTCTAGCCCATCAAGTAAGACTTCTGTAAAAGCATGCAAGATCGGATGGTTGAAAGAAGTAAGGATATAATCGAAGACAATGATAAACAATTTGAGAAGACGGATATTAAAGAAAATAAAATTTGGTAATAAAATTACTAGAGATGAATCTTTGAGTCTAAATATTAGATTTCCAAATGTGTTTATTTTAAGAATTATAATTGTCAAAAAATATTCAATATCAGTTTGATCAAATTTTACTTACTCTGCAGACTGTCGAAAGTTATGCATAGCAAACTGCAACAGAGAATATCTGCCTGAAGGGGGCGTTGGACTGCTTGGTGATTGCGCTCCATCTCCTCTGGAGTCCCTCGGATGATGTTTAGGAGAACTTTCCTGAACAACAGTCCTAGATTTGGTGCTAGTGGTATTAAAGTTAGTTGTATATGACGCTTTCGAAGGAATCTACAGGTGGAGAACGGGTTCGCTGTGGAGAAGAGACTTCCCAGTGAGATTTTGATTGAATCTAAAATACAAAAAGATTGGAATTACTACATTGTAAAAAATAATACATTTTAAAAATCAAAACAAACAACTGCGTCCATACTTTTAGAGTGATCTATAGTCTTCATAGGGTAATGCCCTACCCATTTATTACTGTTTGATAAACATCAAAGAGTTTATCTACCCACTTTATTCTGTATTCAAGTGTCTTTAAAAAATATGTCCTTTTGAATAAAATATAAAGTAAACTTAATAACTTATAGTAATCTATACAAAAAAAGCATATTTTTTTATTACTTTTGTGATTTTTACAGCATATCAGGATACAACAAATTACTCTATCTAAATGGTCATAATGCGTGCAAGTATAATCTCCTTATTGACCAATATTCCTTTTGGAAATTTTTTATAGCACAGATTCTACAATAAAAGCTGTGCTATCATCCCTTTCTAAATTAAGAGTAACGGATTTTTGTCTTGTCGCTTTCAAAGCAAGAACTACTTGCGTCACTCTTTAGGATAAAACAGCTGAAATAAAGTTAAATGGAATTCCCATAACATCATTAGATATTCGGACGATACTATGATCTAAGCCGAAAATATTGAAGATCTTCAGAGACTGGTGACCACAATAGCGGAGTATGGAAATGAGTACGGTCTAACAATGAATGTCAAGAAGAAGAAATTTATGAGAATATCGAAAACTCAAAGAAATAACGATAATCTTCTAATAAACGGAACCAAAGTCGACCAAGCGAACAAATATGCATATCTGGGAACAATGAATAACTCCACAAATGATTACATTTAGGAGATCAAAATCAGAATAGACAAGGCTAGATCAAATTTTAACAAAATGAGAAGAGTACATGGGATTTAAAATTGGAACTAAGAGTTAGGTTGACGAGGTGCTATGTTTTTTCGAGTTTATTTTATTGAATGAAATCTTGGACCTTAAATGCGACATCAATGAAAAAACTGGAATCATTCAAACTGTAGGTGTATAGAAGAATTCTGAAAATATCGTGGACAGAACACACCACAAAGATGTTTTGAGAAGGATGAATAAAGAAATAGAAAATTTTAAATACAATTAAAACAAGAAAATTGGAATATCTCGGACATATTACACGTGGAGAGAATACACCTTGCTCCAACTGATTATGCAGGGAAATATCCAAGGAAAGAGAAGCATAGGGGGGCGTAGAATGTCAGGGCTGCGCAATCTGAAAGAGAGGTACGGATGTGCATCAAATGAACTTTTCAGAGTAGCCGTCTCAAAAGTCCGAATAGCTATGATGATTGCCGACCTCCGCCGCGCAGATGGCACTTGAAGAATAATAAGATAATAACAGACATAACTGACTTTGTCACAAAAGTTGATCACCCTGAATATTCAATCTCCCGACAGATGTTAAGAAAATAGAAAACTGGAATATGCGCTGATAATATAATAAGCGTATCCAGTAAAAGATACAACAATTAGTATTAGTTTGAATTATCGGATTTTAAAAGAGAACCGAGAAATTTATTATTCTCAAAAAATCTCCTTTCAGATAAACCAAAATCACTTTCACACTAATTTAAAAGGTCCCATTGCTTTAAGGTTTCTTCTTTAACGTACGTACGTAATACGTATTTTATAATTTAAAATTCTTAAAATAAAATACCAAAATATAAATATGATTGAAACATATGGTAACCGAACTCAAATAAATATATAGAAAATAGACGATGTTTATGGAAATTTATGGAAATTACAAAGTTTAAAGCAAAAATGCTAATATGGGTCATAATGTTATATGTAGCTAATTAATCAATGATTACTTTCACTTTTTGACAATTTTGTGCATTTGACTTTTTAATCCATTTAGTTCTGTTTACTAAATAGAGAGTCCTAAAGGCCTACAGAGCCGGCTTGATAAGATATCCGTTGAAGGACATCTATTATTCCTAAAAATCAACACAGAAAAACGAAGATATTAATGGTAAACCAGAATTCAAACCAACCGAGTTTAAATACCTAGGTAGGGATAAACGCGGGATTTACCGTCATGCAATTTGCTCCGCATTTTGTCCCTCGGGATCCAGCATGTCCCGCAAAATCTACACTTTTATTATTACCAGAATGATTTAGTAAATGAAGTTATACAAGTATTTGCATTACGATTGCAACGTAAAAATATTTATAGAAATTATAAGTATCAGAGCCAAAAAAATAAAAGATGTGAACAATTGAGATTATGACATGAATCTGCATGCAAGACTGTCGGAATTAACAACCCAAAATGAAGGAGTTGTACTCGACAATTCTTCTGATAAAATACGCAGTTAAAATTAAAACTGCCCTTACATTGTTCTCTGACGGTAATCCAAAAGTACTACCATTTAGAATCCAAAGCAGAATGAATTATTAAAACCTGTTTGAGTTTCCTAAAAACCGAACCACGTCGATTATCGCGACCTGTATACTCCATTCGCTTAGCTCGGGCATATTTTGACAGATTCATTGTCGGAAACCTACAACGCAACAATTCCTACTTCTCACTATTATAGCTCAAGTATACTACTAGTTGCAGACTTCTTTCTTTGAAAAAAAAAAGAATTATTCTAAATAGTGTAAGTATATACTAAACCCATAAAATTTTCCCTGTATATTTAAAATATAATATTTGAGTTGTCTACAATTTAACATATTGTAGTAAATATTTGTATTATTCGCGTTGTTTATGTTAGCTAATATAGTTTTATTGTTCTATTATTTTTGTTTATTTGTTTATATTCTATTTAGTTAATTAGTTAGTTCTATTTTGAATTTTTTATGAGGGATAGTCAAAGTTTTCCATTTGTTCTATGAGATAATGCGTTGGTAAGATTTTCTTAAATAAATGTGATAAATGTTCTTTAAAATTTAATATTTTTATATGAATAAGGATGCTGTTAAATTACAAGGTAATCAAACTGCACAAAGATTTATTCAAAACACCAACCATTTTTTTATTATTATTTGCTAATTCGGCGTAGGTTGATCATTAAATATATTTATGAAATTATGTAAATATGTTCTTAATAACAAAAACATTTCAGTTAACATCCAGTTTAATTTGACATGGCGTCAAAAATAATCTATAATTAAATAAAAATATATTTTATAAAAAAGTTATGGTAATTTAGTTTATATCGTTAAGTTACTCCAATTGTAGGCAACTAACTTAAACTTTTTGTTAGCATTTAGCTGAAGTTTCTTGAGAATATTTTTAATAAACGTTTAATATTTTCTAGTTCATTTATTAATGTACGTACTTAACATTGTATTATATAAATCCTTATAATAAAGTACGTTAGATAAAAAGGTAAAATCCCGGGTCGCCCAAAACTAGCTTCTAATAGAAATAATAGAATATTATGATATTTTTGATGATATTGGATTATATTTTTGATGAATGATATTTTTAAATAATAATATGAATATTATGATCTTTTTTTTAGTTTACGTACTTTATTATGAAGATTATATAACACAATACTAAGTACGTCTTCGATTGTATATCATTTGAAATGCTTATTCAGCATTATTATTACTTAAAAAAAAATAATAAATTAACTGGAAAATATTAAACATTTATTAAATATATTTTCAAGAAATTCCAGCTAAATGCTAACAAAAAGTTTAAGTTGGTTGCCTACATTTGGCGCAACCTAAGGGTATAAACTAAATTACCGTAACTTTTTTATATATAAAAGAAACTTACTTTCTTTATACATGCTATAAATTTCTAAGTCATAGTATAAGTTTGCAAAAGAGGTCGACGAAATACTCTAATGAAATGCGCTATGAGCACGTGTGCTTGGTTGTATAGTAATTTCCAGCCACTTCTAGTCTGTCAAAAAGTAACTAACTTCGTAAAAAACATAATTATTACTAAAATCACTAGACGGTTCGGACTGGGATTAGCAAACCGAGTATAGTGATCCTTTCCCAAGTTAATATGCTCCTTTTCTAACTTGGCTGCACCGTACTGAAGACGACCAATACTCAGGAATATACGGTTGCCTTCCATTTTATAACACATATTTTATATTTTTTTTCTTTGTTGCGAGTTATGCAGATACCTTTTACTTTAATGTTATTATCAACTCGCATTAACCTTTTTCTTGTTATATGGTGTGCCTCGACGAGCTTACACTAGCTATATATCGGAAATTGGTTTGTGGGGATTACAATCTATGACGAACTTAAAGAAAATATTTTAACAGATATGCCACTTTTAGTTAAACTGGAAGTAAAGAGCAACTTTGTTATTTTAAACAGAACACAAAATTTTTACAGAAGAGACAAACTTTTCAAAGTTAATATCTCATCCATTTACAATCAAATAATGTTAAAATTCTTTAATATTCTCACAAATAATATGATTCATTTAATAAGACAGATTCTCGAGAAAACATTAGAATTCCATATTGAAACCCATCACCTATTCGTCGACTTCAAGGCCGCATACGACAGTGTCAACAGAACATTGCTATACCAATCAATGCCAATGGTATACCAGAGAAACTTATCCGACTAACGAGAATGACAATGTCTAACTTAGAAGCCACTGTTAGAATACAGGGAGAGAGTTTCTAGATCCTTTGAGATAAAGGATGGACTCAGACAAGGAGATGCTCTGGCTTGCCTCCTATTTAATATTGCCTTAGAAAAGGCAGTCCGAGATACACGAATTAGGGATGGCGGTACTATTTACAATAGATCGATACAAGTCTTAGCATATGCTGATGACATTGACATAGTAGGGCGTAGCAAGCGAGATGTTGAGCAATATCTCCTAGAATTGGAAACAGCGGCGAAACAGGTCGGTCTAGTCATTAACGAAGACAAAACCAAGTAC